TCCCCCCGCTCTCCCCCGGCGCGGGGCTCGGTCTCGGGGCCGTTTCTGCAGCCGCGTTCCGAACCGCGCTGTCCCGGGAGCGTTACGCGGTGGCTGTTAACGGCCGTGTGGACCTGGCGCTCAGGGACGCGGTTTAGGGGGGCCCGGCAGTGGCGGGGGCCCACTTTTCTAAGAGAAACGGTTCCGTGAGATTCTGTCTGGAACCGGGGGAGGGCGGCGCAGGTTCTGTTCCATTCAGCTTCCCTCTGCTCCTCTCCTGCAGGATAAGGAGAAGAAGAAGAAGGAGAGTATTCTGGACCTCTCCAAATACATCGACAAAACAATCCGAGTGAAGTTCCAGGGTGGCAGAGAAGGTGAGCTCGGGCCGGGGGAGAGGATGTCTCTCCGCAGCATGAAGCTTCCTTTGCTTTTTGATATATTTCCTTGTTCTTGGCTTGTTGGCTTTTGTCTCCTGTGCAGTCACGTTGCTTTGTTTCAAGGAACAATGAGGAGAAAAACTTACCTCCTTTAACTTTTCCATTAATCCCCTGGCTGCAGTGTTGCCTTTGTTTCATCCATTCACCTTTCTTTCATTAGTTGTCTTCAACTGTCTTGTTTCTGTCAGCTGCTTTTTCACATTGCAAGGGTGCACGTAAAGCAGCAAAAAAACCCATTTCTGGGTGTTATGGTTACAGTGCCTGTTATCCCTTCCATCTCTTAACACACTAAATGTGCCTGGAGTTCATAGATTGGTTCACTATATTTTCCCGTGTCTTTTCATCACTTTTGAGGGTCTTATGTCGTTGTTTCCCCCTGTTATTTGCTCCCTTGACGTATCTACAGCTGCCCATCCCCATGCAGCTGATAGTGCCACTTGCAGACCACTTGTTTGTCTGAGAGTTTACAACATGCTGCGTGGGAGATGCTGGGCAGAAGCTTTTGCAAAGCAAACTCGGGTTTGCTTTTGAAAATCTCTTTTAATCTGGGACCTGATGCTTAGAAGGGTTTGGAAGTTACCAGGACTGATAGGTGTGGGTTTGAGGGGTTTGTAGTTTTTGGGCAGTTGACAATTCTATTGAATCTGTTAGTTTAGATTTTCTTCTAAAAAAACTGGGTGCCAAGTTCCTTTATGATCTTTGTACGATTGCAAGAGTCTCTTCTTTGATTTGGGCTGTTAGCAATGACAGGATGCTGGGAATCAACAAGTATTTTTTTTAAACTGGGAGATCATTCTGTGTGGTCTTGTGATTTCTTTAGTGACCAGTCTTGTGGAATCATGTTCTGGTTTAGGACAAAGCGCTCGTCTGTCTGCAGTGCATGCCTGTAAAGTCAGTGCTTATGCTAAAGGGGTTGTTTTCCAGTAGGTCACCTGGAAGATGGGTTTTCTGAGAAAAATGCTTCAAGATATTACAGTCTTGCTAATTTTTTTTGCCATTCCCCTTTGCTGAGGTTATGTATTTGGTTTTGGGGTTGGAAGTTTTTTGGGGTTTTTGTGATGTGACTTGTATTGACTTGTTATGCTGAAGTATTCCTAAAATGCCCCTGAAGTTGGCTGAAAACAAAAATGTTAGTGTCTTGAAGAGCATTTTGAATAATTGGTTGAAAAACCTGCTGGCTTCAGTTGGCACAGCACCAGCTGGGTTCTCATGTGTTTGCACTTTGATAAAGAGGGCACTGTTTGATATCTCTGGTCTGATTGGCCTGATAGCATTGTCTGAAAGAGGGAACAGAGCTGGAGAACTGTCTCCTTCACGCAGTCTTGTGTTGCTGTATACCTGGTTTTGGTCTCTAATAATTGTTTTGTGTGGTCTTCAATAGCAAGTGGTGTCTTGAAAGGATTTGACCCTCTTCTGAACCTCGTGCTTGATGGTACCATTGAATATATGCGAGGTAAGTAGTATGTTGTTTGTGTAAAGCTTCCCCTCATCCCCAAGAATAGTTTTCTTAAGAGAAATCTTACAGCTTTGTGAGTGAATAACCAGAAACTGCAGGTTGACATCATCATGTATTTGTGATAATGGAGTTGTAAAGGAAGGGATAAGTAACAGAAGTTATATTAAACACATTCCCTGTGGTAGAATGTTCTTGGTAGTCCTTGCTCAAACTCCTGTAACTCATATGCTGCTCGTGTCCTATAAAGCTTGAGTGAAGTGGTCTGTCTCTCTTAGATAAGGCAATTGCCTTTGCCTCTTTTTATACTGCTGGAGGGTTGCTGATTTGCTCAAAGCAGAAGCATCATCTCAGCAAGAACTAGTGTCTTACTGTCTTAAATTCTACTGTACATGCAATCTTTGCGTTTCTGTGGAACTAAAGCTTCTGTAACTTCTTGGAGCTAATAGAGCTGTAGGGTTTTTTCTTATTATTTGTTTCTTTTTCTCATCCAGGGATAAACATTCCATTCCCCTTTTTCCTGTCTGAAACAAAATATGGCAGCGTTTTTGCAGAGTATTCTCTTGCCTGCTTACAAGGAGGCACTTGAAGCTTTAATTTTGCTCTTAGAAGGGAGTTGTGAGAGTTGTGTCGTGCATTTTTATCGAATATATTGACACCTCAAGGGGGGTAGAATTGGCTATTGTGGTGTTAAGTGTTTGTCCCCATCCACAGCCTTGTTTGGCTTGGTCTGGGAATGGATCAGTGCATTCTGAAGTCGGGGTCTTTTTCTGATTTGCATTGATCCCAGAATGTTTGTCTCTAATGGCATTTGAAACAGGATCAGGAGCTTTTTAATCACTTGTACGTATGCTTTTGCTTGGATGAATTAAAAGGCCTTTGAATTCTTTAAAAGCTACGTGTTCTGCTTTGCATACAAAGGTAACTTCTTTATTGCTCACTGGGGCATGTGCTGATTTGAAAATAAGTAAATCAGTAATGTCTTGAAGACATGAGATATTACTGCTGCATCACTTTTATAGTCCATGTGTTCAATGAAGCAATGCAGAGGTGCCCAGGAAAAAACCCGTATGTCTGTGCCTTTTGAAGTTGATGGAATTTGGTTTCTTTGCTTTATGTTGTCATTGTAACAGTGGATCTCTGCTTTTCAGATCCAGATGATCAATACAAATTAACAGAAGACACACGTCAGCTGGGACTTGTGGTCTGCAGAGGGACTTCTGTGGTTCTTATTTGTCCGCAGGATGGGATGGAAGCTATTCCCAACCCTTTCATTCAGCAGCAAGATGGCTAATGTTTTCCTTGGACTGTCTCTGAAGACTTCAAGGGTGCAAATCATCAGAGAAAACTATCAGTGTGTGAGAAGCTTCCTGTTTTGGGGGAGGAGTTTGAATGTGTATTAGTGTGAAAGAACAGTCAACTTTTATTTCTGTGACTTTCCGTAAATGATGAGAGGATGGGGCTTGGTGTGTAAGAAGTAAGTTAAGTAAGTTCTATTTTTTTTTTTCCCCACCAAATAAATGTGTAACTACATTGTTAAGAGCTGACAGGAGAGAATATATTGTCATGGAATTGTCTGAGACCCTCTTGATCTTGTGAGTTTTGAAGCAACCACATAAAAATAGTAAAGAATGCCCCGAATACTGGTTATATTAGTTACATTTTTAAATACATTAAAAATGTATTTAATGTCAATTAATCTAATGCCTAAATACACTAGAACATGTTTTTCTTCCTCTTAGATGTCAGTACTCAGCTGGGACACACTGTGTTGTTGTCTTCCTGCTGTTTATTTCAGTCTCTTGCCTGCTTGCTCCAGCGCACGCAGGAAGATTACTTCCCTTGTACAAGTACCTTGTCAGCTCTGCAAGCTGCGTAGCTGGGAAGATCTTTTCTAGCACTTGTTCCAGATCTTGTGGGCTGGCATCTGTGTATCAGAAGGTTCCCACACTTCTACAGAAGGACTGGACTAACTTCTAGGATGATTCTTGGCTGAATGACATGAACCTTACGGAAATACCTATTTGATACTTGGAATTTTAGGGGAAGAATATTTAAGATCCTGTTGTTCAGTTGTAGGCAGTGTCTGGAAATACTGCATATTTTTATATTGTAGCTGTCTACTTGTGGTTCTGCTTGTTATAACTTTGATTTGTAAGTAAACATTTTTTTATTTCTTTTATACTGCAGAAATAGCAAGATTTGAGGAGTTTTGTGTGAATAAATACAAATGAATCTGTTCCTAAATGTCTGGTTTTTAGTCTGAAAAAGTGTTCTACAACTGACATTGCAGTTCTCCACAACTGCAAATCTAAATTAAATTTGTTCAGGTGTTTAAACACAGCAAAATCAGGAGGGGCGAGATCGGAAGTCGTGCTCCACTCCAAGGAAATTGATGAGAAATGACTGAGAGCATCTCGTCCCTTTTCTGAGGACTCGTGCATTTCTGTTGGGCATTTTAAAGACTGTCTGATAGTGGATGTGTGCCGTAGGCTGTGTGTAACCTGCTTCTGCCACCTGCTTTTCCTGAGGAGCCTTTGTGAGGAAGCTGTGGCAGAGTGAATTGTTCTGGTGGCAGCAGCAGTCCTGTTCCTAGAGGGTGTCAAGAAAACACACCAAGGACAGGTTGTGTTGGCTGTTCCTTTCGGCAGCCCCATTCCCCACTCGTAGCCTTTCCTGGGTCAGCTCTGGAATGGATGGGAATTTGAATTAAATAAATTCCAATTTGGTGTATCTGACTTTTCCAGGGGGCTAGTGAAACTAGGGACCAGGTTTTTTGTTGGCTTATTGCCTGTGTGAACTGGAGTGCTTCTGGATTTTAATCTCCTAGAGTTCATTCTGTGGGTGCTTCACAGAAGCGTGTCTGTAGAGTCACGTTCCTTTCAACGTAATTTTTCTCTAACACTACAAAACTTACTATTCATGCAATTGCACAATTCAAGAGAGACTACTTAGGAAGAAATTCTTCACTGTGAGGGTGGTCAGATATTGGAACAAGTTGCCTAGAGAAGTTGTGGCTGCTCCTCCCTGGAAGTGTTCTCGGCCAGGTTGGCTGAGGCTTTGAGCAACCTGGTCTAGTGGAAGGTGTCCCTGCTGCTAGCAGGGGGGTTGGGACTGGATGAGCTTTAAAGTCCCTTCCAACCCAAACCAGTCGGTGATTCTATGATTTAGAGTGTTGGGAGCAGAATTTGCTTGCCATCAGCCTGAGTAGAGTCTTGAACTGTCCCTGACGTTGGAGAGAGATTGCTGGTTGATACCAATAATGTGCTGCACCATCTCTGCACTTTTGAGTGTAGTATCAGGCACAGAAGGTCTCTTGTGTAGATTCCAGGCTCTAGATGCAGAGGGTACGGAGAAATCTGCCCGACGTCATGTGTCAAGTGCATAAACTCCGGAGAGGGGCATGTTTCCAGCATTTCCTGCTCAGTTAGTTGGTTGCTGAGTCTTCATGGCAAGATACATGGCTGTCCTTTTCTGCAGCGCAGACTGCTGGGTTATATTTATGAGTCAAGTACGTGGAAATAAGAATATGAAAATGATAGCTGAATTTTAAATGAATAAGTGCTTTTCCGTTGGATTCATTCCTAGAGGTGACTCTTTATAAAACCATTTGTAACGACATTTTGCAGAAGTGCAGGAGGGAACCTCCAGGGAAGAAAGGTGCTCTTGATCCACATAGCGCTATTCTGCTTGCTGAATTCCACCGAGAAATGGGACTGAGTCTTGCTGGGATGGGCTCTTTGGGATAAAGGGAACTTGTTCAAGGTCACTATGCAAATCTCTTCTCTTAATAGGTTGGTCTAAACACTTTGGAAAAATTCACAATGTGGAATCGGTGAGGTCTTGCTTGTACTTACCTAGTGCATTGAGGATGAGGATGAGTGAGTATGTGACGGCCATCTGGATTTGAACAGGGGCTCATTCCTTCCCCCCATCTCTTACTAAAGAATAAACTTAAATATATTCTAAATACTGGAAGCAATCTGGAATTTGATATTAAACTTGAACTGATGAAGGATGTTGCTTTGGGGAAATCAGTGGGTTTTCCTAGGAAGTCTCAAGCTTTCCTATGTTTTTGATTTGCAGAAGTGAGAAGTATTGTCGTGAGTACTTTTTCCAAATGGCTTCAATGTTCTTCTACAACTTCTTGATATTTAGACAATGTTTAAGAAGGTTTAGGTTGTTTCTCCTCTTTCCTCCTCATAGTCCTGGCTCTTTGCTTGGCTAACAGTTCCCCTAATTCACTGTGGTCTTGCCTGGCTAAGGTCGATGCCAATTAAATCTGCAGGTTTTTGGTTAGACAGCTCTCCTGCTATTGCTGCTCAGAAAGCAGCAGGGAAGACTGAGAAGCAAAGCAGGGAGGTAGAACACATACTCTATTTTTAGGACAAGATTGGCTTATCTTGTATTTATCCTAGCTGGTGGGATAATGTTTCCAGAGACCTCGCATGAGTAAAGGCTGTGTAAGGGCTGAGTTAATTTTAACTGCCTGACAGTCAACAAGCATGGAGCCTGCACAAGAACCAGAGGAGCTGGGACCTCAGACAGAAATGATTGCAGACACAGTTCTTGAGGTTGGAGAGAGACTCTTTCAGGTCAGCCGCAGGGTCCTTTCCGTACACAGTCGTTATTTTGAAGCCATGTTTTTTGGGGGGGCGAGAGAGAGCTCTGAACACTACATAGTTATCAGAGGGATTGATGCAATGCCTTTTCAGGCACTACTTGAGTTCACTCGAACAGCCCAAGTGCTTATAGGTCAAGAAAATGTGACCAGTTTATTGGAAACAGCTGATTTTTTTCAGTTTGACAGGGTGAAACTGTTGTGTGAGAAATTTCTGGAGAGAGAACTGCATGTTTCCAACTGCCTGGGCCTGATGACCTACTCACAGCAGTTTGCCTTTGTAGAGCTGTATGAGTGTGCTATGAACGTGGCCCTCACTCACTGGGGGGATGTGATGTGCCAAGAAGAATTTAAGGCACTACCCAAAGAAATGCTGATACAGCTCCTCAGAAGCAATGACCTCTTCGTTTCGCGAGAAGATGTGGTGTTTGACAGTATTATGAGGTGGATAATGGAGGACCCAGCAACGAGAGAAGACGACTTTTTGGATTTGGTGGACAAAGTCAGGGTCACATTTTTGAGTTTGTCCTTCCTTGATATCTTGGTGAAACGCAGCAAGCGCCCTGGAGAGCCAGATACCTTTTCCAGACTAATAAAGAAGTTAGATTGCTGTCCTCCACCCAGCTGGCAAAATGCAGAACTGTGTCCTTACGCTGGTCGGAGCTATGACACCTTGTATGTCCTGGGAGGAAAGCATGACAAGGAACAGCAAGAATTGTTTCTCTTTCAACCTAAAACAGGGAGCTGGCAGGCTTGTTCTCCACTGCAGCGCAGGAACCTCACCCAATACGCAGTGGCAGCAGTAGGTAACTTACAGAGAAGTGAACAAATCAAAACAGGAGTTGAGGGTTAGAGACCCTCAAGGAGTTCAGCAGCTTGTGTAAAGCTGTGTTGTTCAGCGCTGCTAAAACCTCATTCACATTTGTGTTCATGTTCTTTCAAAGAATGGTTTTATTTTCCTAGGTCCTGGGAGAACGTTAGACAAGGCTGAATATTTCTCTTTATACAGCAGAAACTGTTGAACTCCTTACATCAGCTTTATCTAGAGTGAGTCTCATGACTTCACTTTAAGCAGCGTATGGCTTCGGGCTTCTCTTTCATGGTGGATTTAACAGATGATGACTTTGGATTGGTAGTTGCTATTAAGTTAAACTTACCCATGGATATTGTGAAATTTTTGTGCTTGGAGACTTTCCAGACAGCTCAATACCATGGCTTCCATCATGTAGTGTTGGTCATAGTCCCATTTCAAGTGGGAGTTTGGACATGAGATCCCCAGAGGTTCTTTCCAACCACGATTCTGTTCCAAGAGGGGGAGCAGATGTGGAAGGACTTACTGCATCCTGTAGGCCCAGCATATCTGTGCAGATGAGGAATCAACTGCTGCAAACTGATCCAAAGAGCAGTCATTTTCTCTGCTCATCTTGGACTTCATTGGAGCAGCTCAGGGAGAAATGAGAACCCTGGTTCTCAGGAGCAATTTTCAGCCTTCACGTAACCAATACTTTTCTCTGCTGTCTTTCCAGGGAGCTTCCTTTTTGTGACAGGAGGATATTTCCGGGATGAGTTTGTGTGGTACAGTGTGGATTGGGTGCTTATCTACAATTGCTTGGACAATAGTTGGCTGGAAGGACCTGCCATGAAGAAGTCCCGCAATAGCCATTGTGCAGTAGGAGCTGGGCTCTACCTGTACGTGCTCGGGGGGGGCACAGATGAAGGGATAACCCCAGCAGTGGAGCGTATGGCTTTGATGGACTCAGAGTGGGAAAGCATGAGTCCTATGGTTCAACCCGTGGAGAGAGGAGATGCGGTCAGTGTGGGAGCCAGGATCTATGTGGTCTGTGGCCTGGATGAAAATGGTCACGTATATGATGGAGTGCAAAGGCTGAACACAGAGACAGACAGCTGGGATGTCATCTCGTTCTCCCCGCTTCCAAGGTAAGAAATAATCTTCTGGGACGTGGTGGCAGGAGAAGAAAGGTTCTAGTGTTAGTCCTGCTCCAAGAAGAGGTTGGACTGGAGAAATCCAGAAGTCCTGTCCCACCAACATTTCTGTGATTCTCTTTAAATGGGACTCTTGCTATGAGGACCAAGATCACACTGAATATTTCAGGGTCCAGATCTTTCTGTTGATTCTGACGAAGGGTTTCTTCCCTCCCAGGTATGACCTCTGCATCACATCCCTGAACGGTGCTCTGTACACCATAGGAGGGGGAGCTTTTCGATTTGATGTGGAGACAGATGAATGGACTCAGGTGGATGAGGAATGCTTGGCCCAGAAGTTCTTTATGGGATGCAGCACTGTGAATGGAAGAATTTATCTCCTTGGACAGAGGAAGGGGAACAGTGCCCTCCCCGTTGTAGTCCTCTTTGATCCCTACGTTGACATGTGCCAGGTCGTAGATAACAAACTCCCTTGCCCCCTTCCTATTCATGGGTGTGTCTCTGTGCGAAGATTTGGTACGTGGGCGTGAGCGATGCCAGGTCCAGCATAACCAACAAGAAAAAGTCATGAGCTTTACAACTGATGGGAGTTACATTGTGTCAAGTTCCTTCTGTGAAATTTTTTAATTTTGAAAATAGGTCTGTTTATTCATAAATTTGTCTTTTTTTTTTTTCTACCTGGCAAATGAAGCAAAAGCCAGTGAATTCTTCGTGTCTACACAAACCTTGCGGGTCATTATTGGCAATAGTGGTTGGTCAGCGTTGTTATGGTACGTAAACTCCTCAGGGTTGATGCTAAATAAAGGGCTGTTCTGACCTTTCACCTCTGTGGCTCTCTGTCCTTTGAACAGCTGGGAGAGGCAGGAAAGTCATTGCATCAGCGTTAGAAAATATTGCAGGAGTGAAATAATAGATCACATGTGTGTCAAGGGCATCTTCA